TAAACTTTTGGGTGAAACTTGTTTACTTTTTTCTTACTTTTATTACTTGTGGGAAAACTTGAAACACTTTTAAATAAGTATAAAGAATAGCATTGGTTTTGTACATAAAATTTTTGTTTAACGTTATTAATAAAAAAATGATGTTGTTCAATTAGCATGTTTTTGCGTTTTGCTTTGGTACCGAAATTGGTACCGAGAACCGTGGATTTTCACTGGTATTGGTACCGAATACTGAAATTTTGGTACCGTGACAACACTAAAAGTGACAAAAATGTCAGATATTTAGATGTGAACACAGATAACTCCCCCATAGTGAATTGCTCTGTTTGTAAAAAGTCAAAATTAAGAGTGTTTTATTTCTAACACTTCAGTGCCACTACTAGTAAAAATAATAATGATTAAACATGTTTAACTAATTAATAAAAAAGTTTTACCTCACACCCTTTTAACTGTATTGCATTTATATACACACTGCTGTTAAACTTTTTGGGGTCAGTAGGTCAGTAAGATTTTGATCAGTCAATATGCAATAAATTATTTGAAACACTGAAACATTGTTACAAAACGTTTCTTAAAATGTCAAATAAATTATGTACTTTTAAACATTTTGTTAATCAAAGTATTGTAGACTGGGAAAAAAAATCTTACTGGTGCCAAACTTCTGAACGGTAATGTATAATTCCTATTTAATTCCTGTTTTTTCCTCACCCATTCCTTTGGTTATGCGAAGTTTAATGCACCAAAAGGGTTTCAGTTTTCCAAAGATAAATCTTCTGCCAGTTAGAATTTTGTTGAAAATGAACTTTTTGAACTTTTGAATTTAAGTAAGGAAAACCAGCCATCTAATAGCACTCGCCAATGTCAAAATGATCAAGATGGCCAATCAAATCAAAGTAAATGGAGTTTACTGTTCACAGAAGCAATACCAGCACAATATTTGAGAACTGTTTTAAAATAAAAAGGTTAAATGACTGACAATGCAAACTGCTTGATATTTTTATGTTTTGAAATATGTTATTTCACATGAACATAGACAAATATGTTTTGGTACCATTTATGTGATTCATATAATTCCTAACTGAATGTGACAGTGTGTTTGAAATGTTTTGCATTTTTGACAGATTGGGTATACAAATAAGATGTGTTTTAGTATAAATACACACACATGCATGTATATATTTAAGAAAAATATGTTATGTTTATATATTAAATATTATTATTAAAATACTATTATATTATTATATTAATATTTATATATAATATAAATTATATGAATATAAATATATACATGTAAATACATGTAAATGTTTTCTAAATATATACTGTATGTGTGTGTGTTTATATATATATATATATATATATATACACACATACATAATAAATATACACAGTACACACACATATATTATGTTCACAAAAACGTTTGTTTTGGATGCAATTAATCGTTGCCCAGCACTAGTTCATATTTTAAAATATTGTTTGCAATTGGTTCAAAATGATTACTTCCCTACTAGAATTAGACCTACTATTTCCTTTACCATTCTATTCTTTTATACTTTATACCATTATATGAAAATGGTTCCCTAATGTTCAAGACATGGTTACGGTCTTGTTTTATAGGCAGGCTAGCCATAGTTGCTCAGATCGCAAATTTATTTCAATTAATAAATGAAAACTTTGGCCTAAAAAGGAGACTGTGTGTTTTTATACAAATAAAGAAGCCTATTTTGAGAATCACCTACCTGATCCCAAAGTGCAATCTGACGATGGTTCCAGCGTGAATTGCCCGTAGAGAGGAGCATTTTCAGGTTTCCAAGAAATAGCACTTTACTGGCTTTGTGTGATTTGCAGTCGGTCTCCTGAAATCACACATTACACTTCAGTAAGATTTAAAAATAAATGCACATTCCCTTTGATAAAAAATATACTTGGTGAAAAAAAATCAATCAACCATGTCCTATAAAATGACATAAATCATGAACTGAAGTCTTGTGTTCATCTGAGTGACATGAAGAGACACTACAGTGTGAATGTAAGACTCTGAGTTGCTGCTGACCTCTGGGTAAAGGTTTTAAAGGTGTTAGTTTTGGATGTGTGGTGTCAGAGGGGCAGCCAAGGGGAAGTACATTTCTGTGCAAGTACACATATGATATGCGGTGTGTGTCCCAGCTCATAATTGAAATTGAGTGTAGGACTAATTTCTGGGTTAAAGTTGCATAGAATACCGTATTAGCCCGAATATAAGACGAGCCTGATTATAAGACGACCCCCATTTTTCCAGATGTACCTTTTGGAAAAAGGCTTTTTAAAAACCAAATCTTGTTTTTTCTCAGTAAAACACATTTTGTCTTCAATTATTTTCATATTGCATATTTTTCCTATTTTAATTTTTGTTTTGAAAGTATGGTAAAAACTAAGCCTCAAAAACATATGCATGACAGATAGAGAAGAACATCAGGCTAAAGGCAACACACCTGTAAAAGGGTGCCAGTACGTGGGTCAATCACTCTGATCTTCTTGTCCTTACAAGAGGTGGCGAGCCTACTTCCGTCTGTGTTAAAGGACATGGACAGAACCACATCTGAGTGCACACTGATGGACCGCACAGGGTTCTTGATCACCTGTTCAGGAACATCGAGCTTCCACACCATAACCTACACATCAACACACAAACAAACACACTAAAGGTAAATTAAGTCACATTTACTGACATCTAATGCCTGTACACTATACCGTTCAATAACCGGGTTTTAAAGTTTAACTGTTTTTTACTGTTTACCGTAGTAAATTTTTGCTATTTAGTTTTTTTAAAATGCTATTTAAAAAAGAAAAAAAACCTAGTACACTTTAATTAAAACTCCAGTACACTTCTGTATAGGGCTGGGCGATATGAGCAAAAATTCATATCTCGGTATTTTTTGGCTGATTTGCGGTATATGGTAGCCTATATATCTCGGTATTTCGTATTTGGATTAAACAAATAAAGTGAATGTAAGCATGTAGGCATATATTATGTGCAAAAAAGGGTTAAAATCACATTACATTGTAACATTGTAACATTGCAATCTAAAAACATAAATAATCCTTTTAAAGCAGAAGTTAAAGTTACTACACTAAAAATGAAAATAATAAAAAGCACAGACTGAGTATAAAGGCTATTTTGATTACCCCATTACACTTTACAGTTAGTGCAATCATACAAATACACTTACTTGTAGGTTTAAAATTCTACATATGTCACATTTATTGTCCAACTACAAATATTTCAGCAAAATGTATATTTTAGTCAGAGCTATTGCGCTCCTATTTCATTGAGCTCTGTCTGTTTGGCGGCGCTCGTTCTAAATGAAGTCTGTGGAGTTTAGCGGAGAATCGCAAAGCTGGCTGGAGAATTGCAAAAGGGTCTGGCTGCAGCCTCGCACTTGCACTCTCAGACACTTGCGCTTCCGCTAGCGACGTCACTTGCAGGCTTTATTTTTTAGTTTGTTCTATTTTTTATTACTTTTTGTTTGAATCTCTCAACATTTTACAACAGTAGCCAGGTGGTGAAGACAAGAAAAAAGAAACTAAATTACAATGTCACTTGCAATTGCCACTTGCACTCTACGATACCTGCGACGTCACTTGCAATCGACACAAATCGTGCGTGTTGCCAATGGAGACAAGACGCTCTGGTGGTGATTAAATGATTAAAACTAAATTTATACTATAACGTACAGGGTCCTGCAAGAAAAAGACAAGACCCGCAAATCCGTGGCCACAGAACAGCAGAATATGAACGCATGCGCAAAGTCTCTCGTTAAGCGTTTTCCTCCTGTAGAAAAACATAAACACTTAACATGGCGTAATGTATTAAGATGCTATTAAAATATCAAATTAAATATACAATTTATTAATATAAACGCTCTGATTGGTTGAACTCTTCATCTTTTTCTGTTGCTTGTTTTGAATACTGCGTGTGGACAGAGGCGTCACTAGATTTTTGTGTAATTTAGAGTGACAAATCGTACCAGCGTACTTTGAGGTCAAAATGCGTAGCCGCTACGCAAAATGCGTACAGGTTGGCAGGTCTGCTAATGGCTGCTGAAAATATAGCTTTGCCATTACAGAAATAATTTGCATTTTAAAATATATTCAAATAGAAACTAGTTATTTTAAATCATGAGAATATTTCACAATATTACTGTTTTACTGTATTCTTGATCATAATAAATAGTGTCAAAAACGTTCAAAATCTTACCAACCTCTGAATGGCACCACTGCAAATCACATTTCAGCTGTATTTTTCTTTAAAGAATGTAAATTATTCCTCCACAGTTTAGATCTCATTGATTAAAATCAGCTTAAGACTGGGGCAGAACATTTCATTCGTTACTGTGGGAATCAGTTTTGATACACACTACACTCTATCATTTTTTGTAGAGACATTTTACAGGTAAGAATCCTACAGTTACTGCAGAAACAGTGCAAGGAATGCGAGATACTGTGAGTGTGCATATGCGCTGTGAAGGCTGTTGCTCTACACCCACCTTCACTGCCTCAGGACAGCAAACACAAAAAAATAACTCAAACAGAAAAAATGAGGAAAGGGCGGGGGACCATGAATAAGAAGATTGGGAAACAGTGATGCTTAAAACCACTTTTGTTCTAAGGGGGGATTGGGAGCAGGGGAATGGGCAACAAATGGAGGTTGGAAGTCACTACTTAGACAAGAAATCACGATTTTTTATTGACAATGAATCGGTCTGGCTATGAGCAAGAAATGTACTGTAATATGGACTATAAAAACACATCCAGACACAAAAATGCATCAGATGTTTATTTTAACTTAAAGGGGTCATAGGATGCCCATTTTCCACAAGTTGATATGATTCTTTAGGGTCTTAATGAAAAGTCTGTAACATAGTTTGGTTAAAATTTCTCAATGGTAGTGTAAAAAAACACATTTTTTACCCTGTCAAAAACAGCTCTTTTCAGATCAAGCTGTTTTTGTATCATTTTCCTTTAAATGTCCTTTAAATTTTCTCTGCTCTCAGAGAGACTGTTTACTTTAGCCACATTCATC